CCAGTCAGTGCCGCCAGTCAGTGCACAGCAGTGATGCCAGTCAGTGCCGTCTATCAGTACCCATCATCAGTGTCACCTATCAGTGTCGCCTATCAGTGCTGTATATTAGTGCCGCCTATCCGTGACACCTCATTAGTACTGCCTATCAGTGCCCTTTAGTGCTGCCTATCAGTGCCCATCAGTGCCGCCTATCAGTGCCCATCAGTGCTGCCTCATCAACGCACATCAGTGAAGGAGAAAAAATACCTGTTTGAAAAATTTTATAATAGAAACAAAGAAACTTTTTTTTTTTTTTTTTCAAATTTTTTTGTATTTTTTTTTTTATAGCGCAAAAAGTAAAGCGCCCAGTGGTGATTAAATACCACCAAAAGAAAGCTCTATTTGTGAGAAAAAAAATGATCAAAATTTCATATGGGTACAATGTTGCATGACCGCGCAATTGTCAAAGTGCGGCAGCGCTGAAAGCTGAAAATTGGCCTGGAAAATAAGGGGGTATAAGTGCCTGGTAGGCAAGTGGTTAATTTGTGGGAGAGGAATGTTGTCCCATTTTTGCCTGATATAGGATTCTCATTACTCAACAGTCCTGGGTCTTCTTTGTCATATTTTTCCTTTCAAGATGCGCTAAATATTTTCATTTGGTAAAAGTCTGGACTTCAGGCAGGCCAATTAAGTACCCAGACTCTTCTACTATGACGCCATGCTGTTGTCATAGATGCAGTATGTGGTTTAGCATTGTTCTGCTGAAATATGCAAGGCTTTTCCTGAAAAAGATGTCTGGATGGAAGCATATGCTGCTGTATAACATGGATATATCTTACAGCATTGATGGTGCCATTTCAGATGTGCAAGCTGCCCATTCCATACACACTAAAGCACCCCTATACCATCAGAGATGCAGGCTTTTGAACTGAGCGCTGATAAAAAGCTGGAGGGTCCTTCTCCTCTTTAGTTCAGAGGACGCAGTGCTCATGGTTGCCAAGACAAATGTCAAATTCAATTCGTCTGACCACAGAATAATTTTCCACTTTTTAACAGGCCATTTCAAATGAGCTTTGGCCCAGAGAAGAGGGTGGCGTTTCTGGATCATGTTCAGATATGGTGGCTTGATGCATGGTAGAGCTTAAACTTGCATTTTTGGATGGCATGATTCAGAGACAGTGATTTTTAGAAGTATTCCTGAGCCCATGTAGGGATGTCCATCACAGAATCATGCCTGTTTTTAATTCATTGCAGTCTGAGGGCCCGAAGATCACGGGCATCCAGTATTGTGTTTCGGCCTCGTCTTTTGAGATTTCTCCAGGTTCTTTAAAATATTTTGATAATATTGTACTGTAGATGATGATATATTTGAAGTCTTTGCTATTTTATGTTTAGGAACATTTAAGGTACAGCGTTTTGCAAATTGGGGAACCTCTGGCCATCTTTACTTCTGAGACTCTCTAAGATGCTCTGTGTTTATACCCAATCATGTTACTGACCTTTTGCCAATTAACCTGATTAGTTGCAAATGTTCTTCCAGCTCCTCCTTGTTAATTCCACTTACTTTGCCACCTTTTTTATGCCTTAACCCACATTTTTGAGACCTGTTGCTGCAATCAATTTCAGATCACTGCATTCTGTTTTTATGTATATTTTACATAGCATCCCAACTTTGGGGTTGTATTTAAGGGCGGCATTTTAGTCTAATGTCCCCCTTTCCAGTGCCCTTTGAGCACCAACTGCCACTTCTTTAAAGTGTAACTGTACAAAATCTCCATTCAGTCCCATTGAGGGTTTGTATGCGGAATACAGAATTCAAACTATGTAAAGAGTTCAATAGAAGAATTGCAGCATACGGTTGACAGAATGATGTGCAGCATTGATAAGGCTATACACCCATGATTTCAGCAGATCAGAGAACAGAGGAGTATGGGAATTGAGGGGGCAGAATTCAAAGCCTGAAAGAACTTTCACTTTAAATCAACAAAATGCATTCCAAATTAATCAAAACAAAAGGTATGCAAAGTCTCTTTTTTAAAGAAATCTCAACCACAGATGTAGTTGGGATCCTTACTATCTGTGGGGAGGCACTTTCCATTTACCGAAATCCTACACACTCCCTGCTGAGTTAGAACCAGAACTCTCCAATAAGCAGACATTTTGCTGATTGCAGAGCCAAAGGGGATATGTTGGACCTTTGCAATAAGATCACTGCCCTTTTCACAAAGCAAGGATCTCACTCTGTTAGCTCCTGGCAGAATACATGTTTTTCTGCCCAGGCTGTGGCTGCTTTAGAAAGAAAATGAACTGTAGGACATTGAACACCTTTACTTTGATGCACCTGAAATCTATTTTGCTGATTTAAACTAAAAGTTTAACTGGGCTTTAACCTTTTTACTGACCTGAATATCAGGCTTCCATTGGTGGCAGCAGAGGGGTTTTACACACACTCCCAGCTGCTGGAAGTGCGTGCATCTTTTGGAAGCTGACTGTTTGCTTTTTCTGACCCCCGGAAGTGTGACCCTTCTCCCTGAATGATGGATGTTGCCAGGTGGAAGAGCGTGAGACCACCAAAGGTCTGTTCTCTGATCTACCCTAACTGCAGAGAACACGGTTTCACACATTACAATCATTGGCCACTGCTGCCTGTGTAGAAGCTAATGGAGTGGGATCTGCAGTGCATTAGCTTCAGTGGAGGGCAGATGAGACATCAGACAACTTTGAGCCCGCCCCATGTACATGCACATGTGAATGAACTCATCAGGGGTGCTTGCATATGAAAACATTGCTTGTGACACACATTACATATCTCTGCACACACTGGAGTAAGAGCATTAATTCTAGGGCCATTACTCATAGTTCTCTCTAAAGTGATGACCTGTATGAGCTTTAAAGTGCCACCTATAGAATTGTTAAGGTACAGGTATTCGGTAATATATTGTATTTGTATTCCCTGAAGTTAACTTTAGTGTATTTTTTACAGCTCACCTACCTTTTTTTTTTCTCTGGTGAATAGATATTACCACAGAACATACTGGCACATGTCCACACATCAGAAAATAAAAATATGCATACACCTATATTTTTGGTCCACTAATGTGCAAATGTGTGCAGACAAGTGATGCGCCCTACCGAAACCATAGTTTGTCATAGAGATGATATACACTGATATCTGACTGTCAGCACACCTCATATTTACATAATAATGTAGGCATATGCTAAGCGTGTGTTGTGTTGAACTGTGTGTGTGTGTTTGTGTGTTCCTGATTGTATTGTGAGTCTAAATTCACCATGTAAGCTTGCCACAGGCACTATTTAACCACCTCTGCTTTTGGCCTTGCTCAGTACAACCTTTTGTTCTTTTAAAAGTTCTCAATTTTTTCTAAGGTCATTCTTGACCCTAGCAATGCCCCATTAAGGTTTTATGGGGCCTAGAATTTTTTTTTAAATATGTTGCATATCTTGTGTCCATTTTCTTATGGTCTGATATTATACCAGTCTTGTTGATGGATAGCATACGTTATATGTCTTAAACGTTTTGTATGCAGATAACCATGGCTTTTATATACACTACATTGGTGGAGCTAGTTCTATAAACTATTTTGATGTTAGATGGCAGTAGGGTGTGCAGGCGCAACCGGCCACTACATAATCCTTAATTATTCAAGTAACATACATGCTTGGAACAACCCAGGGTGCTTTTTTAACATTTGTGAAGAAGACAGGCGAGAGCAGGTAGACACACTTCATGCCAAGTGGAACATCTCCTGCCTAAGAATAATGTATTATATCCATTTGTTGGTTTAACTCCTTGCAGGGGACAGTGGACACTATAGTCCAATCAAGTTTTCTCATCTCCCCTAGTTTTTGATTTTAATTACAAATATTTACATTCATAAAATGCTCCGAATACAAATTCACACTAATTTAAGTTTGATCTTTTCTTTTCAGTGTAACTTCAGGAGTCTAGCTTCATTATTTCAGAATGAGTGAGAAAGATGGAAATGCAGACAGCATGTTTCTTAACGATGATTCTGCAAAAGGTGAAAAATCTGAAGGCCGTGTACACAGCTGGCAACATGCAATACAGAAACGGGCATCACGAGCTGGAAAGCAAATGCGTAAAGTGACAGTGGGAAGCATCCGTGCTTTCATATACCGAAATGCCTTTGTAATACTCACCGTCGCAGCCGTAGTGCTTGGTACAGTATTTTATACTTCTGTTTACTGTGATCCATCTTCTCTGTATAAAGATAGCTTAGGTCCACAGAAAGTGCATGCTACAGTATATCCATTAACCAATGTGATTTAACTCACAATCCAGTAAAAACTTCTCCCAGATTCTGTTGTAATCAACAGAGCATGTACAAAAGATCTAATATTTAATTTCATTTTCACTTCTTCAAATTTTCCTAGAAGAAATAAGACGCGATTCTTTCTTAACTTCTGACTGTAGCCCATTCTTCTAAAATTATTCCTATGGGTATTTGGGAAACTCAAAGCAACTTGAATTACCCTTGCATTGTCACTTGTGGCATTGTGCTATGGAAAACTGGTGCTGCCCACAGAGATCGCAATGTATGAATATTTCTGAATTGCTAATCTAGTAGTATTTCATAGCATTGCTGTTCAGTTAATGTATATAAAAGGATTAAAATACCAATCCTTGATATTGTTAGTGTCATTAAATATATCTCACCAAACCAGCAAACAAGTTTTTTGATTGAATGCTGCTCTGTTCTTCCATTTGTAGCCATCAAAGTGTGCAAGGAAATGCCCTTCCCGACCACCCATCATGATGAAGATTATGGGTTTAGAGTACTTTGCCCCAATATACCTTTTGGCCATTGATTTGACTCTCACAACAAGAAGTGAATCATTATGTTTTCAGTTACATCATACTGCCACAGCTTAAAAAACAAGTTGTAATATTCATAAAAACTTCATAGCCATGTTAGTCTAATTCATTGTGATATAATTTTCCAGGCATTGTATTGGCGTTTGTCTTGAGGCCCTACAAGATGTCTTATCGACAGGTCAAATATTTTTCCTTTCCTGGCGAGCTGCTGATGAGGATGCTGCAGATGTTGGTCCTGCCTCTAATAGTGTCCAGTTTGGTGACTGGTAAGATGTTGATTTAGCAAAATATAACCAGAAAAACATAGTTGATTTAATACAATCTTTTATATTAAATTAACATATTTATAATAAATTAACAAAGAAAAATGTTCACACTTGTGATAAATTAAAGTGGTTGTAAAGCTTTGTTTTTTTTTTTATTAAAAACAAACACATACCTGCTCTGTGCAATCTTCTCGGGTGCCTCACCCATATTCTTGGCCCCTCCCCCTGCTCAGTGTCCCCAGAGCAAACTGCCTGCTCTGGGCGCACTTGTGTGTGCTTGCTCCTGAGCCAGGCCTGTATGTCAATAAGACGCACAGAAATTCTGAAGGACCCTCTGCACACTGGTATATACCCTTTCAAGCAAACTATGCAATAAATAGGGATATTTAGTTCACACATATTGCAATAAATGCTTAAGACACACAGAGCGCGACTCAGCACTTCCCCCTGCTCCCTCCTCACGGGCTGTGATTGACAGCAGTGGAAGCCATTGCTGTGTCTCAGCCAATGGGAGAAAGATGATAGTAACTGGTTTGGTGAATAGTCTGAGATGGAACATTGAAAAGAAAACAAACATTCATACTCACTTAGGTAGCTTCAGCATTGATCCAATGCTGCAGCTGTCCCATGCTGCCTCTACACTGAGAACAGATCAATTAAACACCACTGATCACTCTTGGGTTCTGTCTGAGCACAGAGAAGTGACTCTTAGTACATTGCCCCACCAGTCATCACTGGAGTACTGGCCTGTGGCGGGGGCGGGAGCAGCTGCCTCAGGCTTTCATCATTGAGAGGCTGAGCCAGCTGCTGTTCAAGCATGTGGGAAAATCCCAGCATTATTGTCAGGATCACTGCAGAGCCTGGACCTGTTCTGGGTCACAGGAGTGCAGAACTAAGTGAACTCCTGTGACCCACAGGAGAAGTATGGCTAGAAGAATTTTGGTCATATGTCTCCTTTTAGATGAAAGAATTTTGAAAACTGAGGTTTGGAGTTAACAAAAATTCTTTTGAGAAAATTGTCTACCCCTGTTGCGTCCATCATTTAAAATCCATTTTTTGTTTCTAAATAGGTCAGGGTTTTCAAACAACACCATGTATGGATGGGCAGGAATAGATAATGCACCTATAAGGTTTACCAAGGAGCAGTTGATTATTGGTGACGTACAGTGGGGATCGAATGTTTGGGCACCCCAGCTAAAAATTTGTATTAATGTGCATAAAGAAGCCAAGGAAAGATGGAAAAATCTCCAAAAGGCATCAAATTACAGATTAGACATTCTTATAATATGTCAACAAAAGTTAGATTTTATTTCCATCATTTACACTTTCAAAATAACAGAAAACAAAAAAATGGCGTCTGCAAAAGTTTGGGCACCCTGCAGAGTTAATATCTTGTACTGCCCCCTTTGGCAAGTATCACAGCTTGTAAACGCTTTTTGTAGCCAGCCAAGAGTCTTTCAATTCTTGTTTGAGGTATCTTTGCCCATTCTTCCTTACAAAAGTCTTCCAGTTCTTTGAGATTTCTGGGCTGTCTGTCACGCACTGCTCTTTTAAGGTCTATCCATAGATTTTCAATTATGTTGTGGTCAGGAGATTGTGAAGGCCATGGCAAAATCTTCAGTTTACGCCTCTTGATGTAATCCCCCGTGAATTTCGAGGTGTGTTTAGGATCATTATCCATTTGTAGAAGCCATCCTCTCTTTAACTTCAGCTTTTTCACAGATGGCATCAAGTTACCATCCAAAATTTGCTGAAATTTTATTGAATCCATTTTTCCTTCTACTCGTGAGATGTTCCCTGTGCCACTGGCTGCAACACAACCCCAAAGCATGTTTGATCCAACCCCATGCTTAACAATTGGACAGAGGTTCTTTTCATTAAATTCTGTGCCCCTTCTTCTCCAAACGTACCTTTGCTCATTCCGGCCAAAAAGTTCAATTTTAACCTCATCGGTCCAAAGAACTTGTTTCCAAAATGCATCAGGCTTGTCTATATGTTCATTTGCAAAGTTCAAACGATGATTTTTGTGGTGAGGACGTAGAAGAGGTTTTCTTCTGATGACTCTTCCATGAAGACCATATTTGTACAAGTATCTCTTTATAGTGGAATAGTGTACCACAACTCCAGTGTCTGCCAGATCTTTCTGGAGGGATCGTGCAGTCAAACGTGGGTTTTGAATTGTTTTTCTCACAATCCTGCGAGCTGTTCTGTCTGATATTTTTCTTGGTCTTCCAGATCTTGCTTTAACTTCCACTGTTCCTGATGACTGCCATTTCTTAATTACATTGCGAACAGAGGATCTGAAAAATTGACATCTGAAAAGCTTTGTGAGCGTCAACTATTTTTAGTTTCAGTTTTCTAGACAACTGCTTAGAAGAACCCATGGCGCTGATTGTTGGGGCAAGGTCAGATGAGTCTGGGCATTTAAAACCTTTGAGATTGACATCACCTGGTCTTCCCAGACGAAGATTGAGAACAATCCATGACACTGGCAGGTCTCAGCTTGGCAAAGGGGGCAGTGCATGCTATAAATTCTGCAGGGTGCCCAAACTTTTGCAGACGCCATTTTTTTGTTTTCTGTTATTTTGAACGTGTAAATGATGGAAATAAAATCTAACTTTTGTTGACATAATATAAGATTGTCTAATCTGTAATTTGATGCCTTTTGGAGATTTTTCCATCTTTCCTTGGCTTCTTTATGCACATTAATACAAATTTTTAGCTGGGGTGCTCAAACTTTCGATCCCCACTGTATATGAACAACAGGCTAAAGTGTCCTCACTAGGGCTTTCCAATAGTATAGTTTTATTAACAGCCCTTCCAGAGTGGAGCATAGCAATGAAAGTAGGATGACATAAATATAGATCTTAGCATAGTATAGGGGCTAGTTTTGCCACTAGTTTTAGACTATTTTAGGCAAAATGGAACATTACTCAGACTTCTAAGCTGTTTGATGTCCCAAACTAATTCAAAGGTAGTTTTCTATAGATGAAAGATGCAGGAGATAGAGACTGGTAAAGATAGGTAGCACTTGAACTATTAAAGACTAAATGTATTTCATAGCAAGAAGGGTTTTTTTCCAGTTCTTTTGGTCCTCTCAATCTAGAGAGCAGAGGAATATAATTCAATTTATACTTAACTTGGACAGGTTTGAAAACCAGTCTTTTCAGAATTTGATTTTTGAGGATGGGTAGACGTTCCACAGATGCAGAAGAGTAAAAAAAAACCTTGAAGTTTAAGAGTGCTGGAATTCTGGTGGTGACAACCTTGTACTTGAGTTCCAATATAAGCAGTCTTGCTGCTGCCATTACAAGGAGGTCCTGTTCTTCCTGCTGTATTTTTATTATTATTTGCTAATATTCAGAATGCAGCAAGAGTAGTAAAAATGGTGCTTGAGAACAAAACTCCAGAGTAAACAAAGATATATGAACTATGGGTTGACCCTATATGAACTATGAGAGTTGACCCTTCATGTGACCAAGCTGGCAAATGACTCAGCTTATCTATAAATGAAATATTTGGGTTGATTGGCTTTTTGAAGCACAAAGCTTTAAATGGCATTGCTACTATAAAAAACGTAAGGTGTGCATTTCTCATTTAACAGTGGACTGTTCTGTGTATATCATCCTTTTGTGCCACTAGACCTATAGCAGTGATGTGTGAGGCACTGCTTGCTATTCTTAAAGTGAGCCTGTGGCCACCAGAACTCTCATTGCCACTGTATAGTCTGCTGCTCTTCCAGCTCAGAAAAAAAAACACTCTTACTTGTTTTGCTATGTGCCTGGCAAATGTATTAATTGTTTTATTTGCAATTTCTTGAAGGTTAACTGTTGTTTTTTTTGCTTTTTTAGGGATGGCATCTCTAGATAGCAAAGCTTCAGGAAAGATGGGCATGCGGGCTGTGGTGTATTACACTGTAACTACATTCATTGCTGTGTTTATTGGAATTGTTATGGTGATCATCATTCATCCTGGCAAAGGCACAAAGGAAAATATGGAATCTCAGGGGAAAATTGAAAGGGTACAAGCTACAGATGCTTTCTTGGATCTAATAAGGTAAAAATAAATCTGGATATATTGTATACAGTATATAACTAAAATAATAGAATATAATTGCATGGCTAACTAATATATAAGGTTATTGGTTGATTTTAATTAACTGATAGTAGGATGATTGCTCCAAAAACAAGGCTTGCTTTTTCTTCTCCTTATTACACTTTTTTGCAAAATAACCAGAATATACGTATTTAACCCACACTTTACTCCACAGAATTTTTTACACAGTAAAGTATATACTTATTGTCTGATCACAAGTGGTCTTTTTTTCATAATTCACACATTTTTTAGATGTGAGGTTTCTAGTGTGCATCAACATAGGAGACAAGAGAAGTATAGGATTTTGATTTGCGCTATCAGTAAATATTCTGTTCATGGCTAGTGGAACTCAATTGATTGTAAAAGATACAAGTTACAAATAAACGGCAAAGAAAGCCCATCTGTGCACCACAGGTCTGATTTAATTTCTCTGTGACAGATCATACCTTGTTCTTGTAGATTACATGTGTTTAGTAGTGAAACCTATAAACCATGTCTGGCAATTAGGAATTTTTGTAATTCCTTGGCATTATTGTTTGTTATGTCTTCAACTGACTCTCAATCTCATTCTCTCTTCATTAAGAGCCATATAAATATATACAAGCTCATGTTGAGTACCTTGGTACAGTTCACAATCTGAGAGGATTTCTTACATTCCTATTAGTTACTGTACAGGGAGTATAATGCTATATAATATACATGCTTGACACTTTTCACTGAAACACACTATAATAATGGACCACAAACTGAAGATGCTCAGCTCCAGCCAAGGCTTATTCCAATGACAGCACGGTGAGTGGTATGCTGTCATTGTACTAAACCTTGGCTGGAGCTGACGTCGTCTTTGGTATGCATCCTGTTGTTTGGTTGGTTGGTGGATTGCAGTTGAGAAGGAGCAGACTCCAGGGTCTTGGCATCTGGTTGATTGCAGGCAATCAAGGAGGACACATGGTGGCCTGTGAGCTGTGAAAGAGGTTGGGTTTATCTAACAGTCATATATATGAATAGAATTTACAAAAATGCTGGTTTTATATTATTAGCTGGTGTCACCTGGCTGCTGTTACAGTTTTAGTGGCTAAATGGTTGAACTAGATGGACTTTTATATACTGCAGATTGGGATTCCCTCTGCTCTACATACCTATTACTGAGAGAATCCAGTCAATTATGCAATATATGTGCTACTTTCAGACTACCAAGCCATAAACTGGACGTACATATGTTGGGTAATATATAGGTTCGCAATAAAATTCTATTAGTATTCTTTGTTTGCAATTTATAGGTTTACATGGAATACTAAATATGCTGTGTTTTAAGGGAAAATTTTGTATTTTATTATAACCCAAATATTTTTTTTCCTAAAGGAATATGTTTCCTCCTAATCTGGTAGAAGCCTGCTTCAAACAGGTAAGGGTTCACGATGTGCTATGTGAATTGTTTACTGTTCACTTGCTTGGTAGCCCTTCCTAAAAATCTCACATTTACTCAAAATTCACTATTAATTGCACACAATTTTTTTTGCACTTTTTTATTGTTTTTTATATTGCTATGTGATCCTGCCAGTTATTACTGTAAGAATAGCACTTCTTTTTTCAAGGTTACAATGCCCAGTGAACTGCTTCCAATACAGCAGAGCAAAGTGCCTGCTTGTACAGCCATTGTCACAGCTGGAAAGCTTGTCCATCATTAGCAAAAGTGACAAACTGCTCCCTAAAACTTGTCTCCTCTCACAGCCTTTGCTTTACTGATAAGAAAAAGAAGAGTGGTCATGTGACCGCCACAAAAACTCTCCAAAAAAGGTATTTTGTGACATTTATTTTACATATTAGTTGCACATTATCATTGCCTTATAACTTCACAACACCGTCCTTGTTTGTTTGGTGCAGGGTTTACATCTGTCTGCTTTGAGTTGTATCTGTAGTCCAATTGCATTGAAATATAGTATTACTTCCAAGGACAAAATCAATGTATGGTATCATCTCTAAATATGTTTAGATGGATAGTGTGAGAAAGTGTTAGTTCCTCTGTTAGATCCTCCATCTATGAATGCAGGACTGGTGGGTGAATGAAAGGTCTGCCTCCATCCATTCATAGTTAATTTTTCATTGATGGACGCTATAGTACAGATTTTATGAATGGAGAAGGGGCAGAAAGGGAGAGCATAGTTTGCACTCTTGATGAGTGCCTGTCACAGGTCCAGTGCTCATGTTAGCCCCACCAGCACTGGAAGATCACAGCTGCAGGGGTGGGTAGCAAAGGACATCAAATCTCACCTTAGAGACCAGCTAGCAGCTCAAGAGACACTTCACAATGAATGTAAATGCAATCCCTTGATAATGAATAGGTGATTATCCTCTACGTATCTGGAAGCTGTCAGTTAGGTAATGATGCATATAGGCTGCTTGAAGACTGAATATGCCCTTGGATGAATCTTCCTTAACATAAGATACCAAAGAATAAATATCCAAGCACACACTTCATAGAAGTAGCAGGACCTTTGTGGTTTTAGACAAAACTGTAATCCAGATCAATAACATGAAGGGTAAAGGTGAAAGTGTTTTCATTACATCTTCAGCTTTGAACAAATTTGCTTCAGAAACTGTCTCTTCATTGGGACTATATAAATATTTAAAAATACTGTATATGTAAAAAAATTCAAACAGCATACAGTATATCAAAAGATAGTAAGGTAAACACATAATACACCGACAGATTCAAAATATACAATAAGGTTGATCCGTTCAAAAAACATGACAAATGTATGCATTTCATAAAGAGCAAAATTACCAATAAACCTCACAAATATGTCAAAAATACGGAACTGTTTTCTATATCTGCAAATTTTTGTCACTGTACATACTAATACATACTACTAAAAACATATATTTATTTCTTCTTTTGGTATATCATTATCCTCTGATTCTGATAATGCGATTATTGTTTTGATATGTTAATATGCAGGCGTCCTAGCATTTAATAGCATTTGTCTTCAGTCATCATTTTTGTTTCATTCTACCTTCATTCTACCTTGCTATGAGGGGCATTCAAGTCAAACTGGGATTTTTAATTTTACAGGTATAAAAAGGGATGCTAGCGTGGTGGTACTACACGCAGCAATAAGTGACAAGTGTGTCCTATTACTGATAGATGATGCACATGTCACGGGCCAGTCCAGAGACCATTAATCAAGATGGCAGACAACGGTGTTAGTGTGTGCATGGAACAGCTTAAGGTGATGAAGTTTCTTGTGAACAAAGGTGCAAAACCTGCAGATATCTACAGAAGACTTCAAGCACAGTACAGTGATGAAAAGCTCTGCAGCAGGAAGATATTTGAATGGTGTAAATGTTTCAAAGATGGCCATACGTCCGTCAGTGACAGTCACGGCTGTGGTGGTTTGCCAGCCCACAGTAGTCATTCCTGTGAACATTCATTGCATGGAATGCCTGATCCTGGATAATCGATGCATAACCTGTTGTGAAATTGCACAAGAAATGAATCTGTAGGTGGAAACAGTGAACACAATCATGACGAAGTGAAGCAGGCTGTCCTAGGATATTTCCTCTGACCATTAACCTGTCCAAGATTAATGTTACACTTTTCCATCCACTCTAGAAGGAAAGCTTTATTGTCTTTATTCAGAGAATTAATCCAAACCTCGCTCTCGGCCTTCATCATGTTGTGAATGACCTGCTCTCTCCATGGGATCAGAGGCTGAACTGAGCTCTTTTCCATGCCCGATTGGGAAAAGCAGACAAAATACCCGTCTCCTCCATGGGCTATAATCAGTGGGTAGAAGGCTAGCCCCTAGTCCCCTCCAAAAGCCCCTGTACTAGTTTGGCCTGTCACAATCCCCAACCACACAACACATTGAATAGACTACTACTATTAATGGTCTTCTTTGACGCAGCCATTGGTATTTGTTGGTTGGCAGCTTTTTTTTTATCTGGTTTAAGGAGACTCCAGCCACACATTACTCTGGCAGTGATATACTAAGAGTGGTTATTTTAGAAGTATCATCATCATTTGCACCACCAAAGACCACTTCTCTTGCATTTTAAATGATTAAAAATGTATATACTCTTTTTATAATGTACTTAACCTACAGTCATTCAAGCAAAGGTCCTCTGTCTCAATATGCTGGCTTGGCATCAACTTAACAAGTTACGCAGGCAAATAGCTGTTTATTTTCACATTTCATATACAGTTAGGTTCATATATATTAGAACATAGTCACAATTTTAGTTTTTTCAGATACCAAAACATATTCAAGCTATAGTTATATAATGGATATCGGCTGAAAGTGCACACTCTTAGGTTTAATTTGAGGGTACATCCAAATTGGAGAAGGGTTTAGGAATTAGAGCTCTTAAGAGTAGCCATCCCCACTTTTTCAAGGGACCAAAAGTAATTGAATCAAAAGCTGTTCCAGGTGTGGGCTACTCCTTCATTATTTCTTCATCAATTAGGCAGGTAAAAGGTCTGGAGTTGATTCTAAGTGTGGTATTTGCATTTGAAATCTATTGCTGTGAACCTACATCATGTGTTCAAAGGAGCTGTCCATGCAAGTGAAACAGGCCTGTGTAAGGCTTCAAAAATGAAACAAAAATGAAACAAATCCATCAGAGAGATAGCGGCAACATAAGGAGTGGCCAAATCAACAGTTTGGTACATTCTGAGGAAAGAAGATGCACTGCTGAGCTCAGCAACATAAAAAGGCATGGATGTCTAAAGAAGAACAGTGGTGGATGATCACAGGATCCTCTCTATGGTAAAGAAAAACCCATACACAACATCCAGATGAGTAAAGGACACTCTCCAGGAGGTGGGCGTATCATTGTCAAAGTCTACAATCAAGAGAAGATTTCACGAGAGCAAATATAGAGGGTTCACCACAAGGTGCAAACCATTCATAAGCCTAGAGAATACAAAAGCCAGATTAGACTTTGCCAAAAAAACATCTAAAAAAAAAGCCAGACCAGTTCTGGAAAAGCATTCTTTGGACGGATGAATCTAAGATTAATCTGTACCAGAATGACAGGAAGAAAAAAGTGTGGAGAAGGCTTGGAACAGCTCATGATCCAAAACACACAACGTTACTCATCTGTAAAATATGGTGGAGGCAGTGTGATGGCATGGGCATGCATGGGTTCCAGTGGCACTGGGTCATTGGTGTTTATTGATGATGTGACAGAAGACAGAAGCAGCCAGATGAATTCTGCAGTGTTTAGAGATCTACTGTCAGCCCAGATTCAACAAAATGCAACAAAGTTGAATGGACGGCGCTTCACAGTACACATGGACAATGATCCAAAACACACTGAAAAAGCAACCCAGGAGCGTTTGATGGAAAAGAAGTGGAATATTCTGCAATTGGCTGAGTCAATCACCTGATCTCAACCCAATTGAGCATGCATTTCACTTGCTGAAGGCAAAACCAAAGGCAGAAAGACCCACAAACAAAGAACAACTGAAGACAGCTGCAGTTAAAGCCTGGCAAAGCATCAGAAAGGAGGAAACCCAGTCTTCAGTAATGCCCATGGGTTCCAGACTTCAGGCAGTCATTGCCAGTAAAGGATTCTCAACAAAATATTAAAAATTAACATTTTATTTATGATTATGTTCGATTGCCCAATTACTTTTGGTCCCCTGAAAAAGGGGGAATGGCTACTCTTAAGAGCTGTAACTTCCTAAACCCTTCCTCTAATTTGGATGTACATACCCTCAAATTAAACCTGAGAGTGTGCTCTTTCAGCCTATTATATAACTATAGTTTTAATATGTTTTGGTAAATACTTGAAAAAAACTAATATTGTGCCTGTGTCCAAATATATATGAATCTAACTGTAGTTTATTAGTTTATCAGTAGCTGAGACACTATGATTGTTCCATTTGTACACATCATATGTATTATAAACTTGAATACCAGCATATACTATGTGATTCTATTCATTATATTTTTATTCTAGTTATTGTTTTTTTACATATTAAGGCCTAACTCCCTCTGTACTACATGTGTTAAATACTCATCACGTCTAGGGGAAGCTGAAGAGTTTGCATTACTTACTTTACCCCAGCTCTGGCCGACTCCGATGTTCTCCTCCTCTCCCTTCCAGCACTGTGGGGGAGTCCCCTCGCCGTACACATACAACAAAAGGGCTATTAGCCCTGCATTGTATATGAAATCAGCAAGAGTGTGACTTAGAGAAGAGGGCCCGTGGGGCCGATTGCACTGCTGGAGGAACCCTGCTAGCATGAGAAATAAGATAAGAAATTCCCCTTATTTATGCAACCCTAGACTGAATGAGCAGTTAACGGTAGCCATGTTAAAAGCCAACAAACAAGCAGGAAAGGGCTAATACAATAACGGTATTTAGGCTTACAGTATCTGTTATATACAGATATTG